CAGACTAGATTTCTCCATAGAAAGAAGGAAATAACCTGGTAGAAACATGGAAATACTGACTAAATTTAACTGAAATTTTATAAGTCCCTAGACTGATTTTTTGCTGCTAGACATTTCTTGCAATTACGATAAAAAATAACATTAGAAGATAACATGACAACAGCCATACTGGCTCATATCAAAGGTATACTTAGCTCTGGGCTAAACCTATGGGCATTTACATCTTCTGATTTCAAGTGATTACCTCTAGTGCTAGATCAGAAGAGAAATTAACTTGTGGATTGCCATGCATCTTCCCAATGTGCTCATGACTTTATGCAATTCCTGCCATCTCTGTTTTGTTTCCCTTCTTCTATTGGGCATCACAGGCAGAGAAGTCAGTCTGTTTGTTTAGTTATTCTTTGTACCAAAGCTCATCTCCCTCTTTGATTGCCTGTGTAAGCCCTCTGAGTACCTTTCCTGTTTTTTCAATATTCCTGTTAAGATAAGGAAAATCAGAAAGGCAAGGTTTTCCAGATGTAGCACAGATTTAAATAGTGAAATAACAATGATCTGTACTATTTCTTTTTCCTGTTGTAATGATTCTTTGGGGAAAGCTGAAGTCTATTTACTTTTTGACTGCTGGCGAGCAAAGAACTGTTGGTTCCGCAGAACTGAATGCTGTAAACAGTGAGATGGTAAGATCAACTCAGGATGCAATTTATGAAGATTAGGATTATTTTTCTCCTATATGCAACAGTTCACATTTGTCTGCATCAAATTTGGATCTTGTTTAATACTTTTTGGAAATCAAACAAGATCTCCCTCATCCACTTGCTTTTTAATTTCTTCAAAGAACACCAATGTATTCATGGCACATGGTTTCCCCTTACAAAATGCACGATGACTCTTTACCACTATGGCATGTTTATTCACACCTCAACCTCAGTTTCTTTACAATGGTCACCAGGCTTAGTGGGCAGAAGTTTCACCCACCTTTTTAAAACGCAGCAGTAGGTTTCCCATTTTGCTGATACTGAGGATGTTTCAGGTGAGAAGTCATCCACCTTAGCAAATCAGCTATTTCTACCATGAGTTTCTTCACAATTATGTTTCAAACATTTGAGTGACCTCTGGTCTGCCTGATATCTGAATATAACAAATCCTTTAAAACATAATAAAATATGACTTCCCTCATTCCTGAAGACATGTTACATTTTCTTCAAAATTATAAACAGCCTATCATCAGGCCTGACAAATTTCAGCCCTGGTCTAATGACATTTTTAAAGTCTGGTTTCTTGGGAACCCTCCAGACAGAAAACATCTGGTTTGTCCCATTAGAGACCTAAGCCTTTACTTCTAGATTTGCCTTATACAGGATACTAATTTTCAGAAACAGAATATAAAAGATTTGCATTTATCTTGGGCTTGCTTTGATTGTATCAGGTAGTGTACATTAATTGCAAGCACTGTGAGTGTGCCATTGTATTTCCTGATTGGGCCTATTTTTCTAATCTATAATTATTTTCATTTGATCTTTTTTAATAGCATCAGTTGTACACTGTAAAAATGTACCAGTTATATGTAATGGGCAGACTGCTAAAAGTCCTGATTTTGAACCAAGACTGAAGTGTTTAGAGAGTGCATTAACAGAATAAGAAAGAGTGCATTACCCCACAGAATACCCTATCTAATTACAAGGCAGAGTGAGAATAGAAAGGCCTAATGTGATGATATTCATCCATACAGAAGGCAGTAGTCTACACATACTGGCAGCTTAATTGTTGTATAATATTTCTTTTAGGCAAAGCAAAATTTTAAGAAGGAACTTAAAATGAATAACAAAGGGCTGCTTTACAGATATTTTCAAGGCGTCTTCTAAGTGTGAATTGTTGCATAGCAAAATTATAGGGGTATTTATTTGAAAATGTAACAAGTTGACCCTCACAGACTGAGAAAAGACAGTCTCTAAAAGATCTTCGGAGTCAAGACAAGCTCATGTTTAATATGACCCAAGTAGGAGGAGTGAGCTGGGAGAAGAAAAGTCAGATTTGTTCAAAAAAAGAGCAAAGTTGGAAAGTTATTTTTATGGCATTTCAGACAGATATGAACAAGAAAAGACTGTATTTATCTAGCCAAAAGATAAAAAAGCTGCATAATAAAACTTGAAGTGACCTGAGCTTTATGTAGAGATGTATACAAATTACTATCTATCTCCAAGATTCTAGACAGAAAGAATCTGTTAGAGACAGGAGAAAACTGAATGTAAAAAAATTAAAGGGATGTGCAAATCAGAGAGGCTGTCTGCCACAGAATGATCAGAGAGAGGTAGAGGCATATGCAAAATGTGGTGAACAAATTAACAATACTGAATTTGCAGTAAGTCCAGAAAAACACAGGTTAGAGGCAGATCTAGGTTTTACCATCTGTAGTTGGTGACTCTGGATTATAGGCAGTAGCTAAATTAATATTCGCAGATGCTGTTAACCCCGTAGATCAGGTAACAGGGAAAGTGTGATGGGGGTTCAGGACAGAATGCTGTGGATGAAAACACTGAAAAGGAGTATCCTGAAAAGAACATGCTGAAGGGTAAGGAGTGAAGAACAGATTAAAGGAAATTGTACTACAGCACCCATCTTTTCCATTATTTTAGCCATTCAAATGCTTTCATTATTTAGATCAACAACAATAATACATCAAACAATTTTTGCACTCTTGTAGCATTTGCCCAAATATTTGATGCAGTGGAAGGACTCCATTGAGTTAAACAGGCTTTGAATCAGTCTGTGTCCTGCCATCTCAAATCTGACAAACAATATACTTTTGCCCTATAACATTCTCAAAAGGCAACTTGCCTAAATCAAATTATCACATCAAACTATTGCTAGCACTAATTAACTAGTAAATCAACAGAGTTTTAACTAATTAGCATATCACTGCTCCCCAGAGTCAAATAATTTATTATTTTAGTTTCAGCAAATATCCCTACCAAGTGGAGTGAGGCAAGTATATGACGCCTTAGAAACATGTTTCTTATTATTTGAAAATGAGAAGATGTAATAGATCTAAATTTTTTAGAAGCAGTCATGTTTGAAAGTCAGAAAACAAAGAGCCTGTTTTGATTATGAAGTTAATTGGGTTTTGAGCCTTAAAGTAAAAAAATGTGGTTCCAGTTGCATGCAATTGTTTTCTTTAATCCAGCAGAGTTGGCTTAAACTGCTCAGACTCCATTTTATTCAGAGCATGGGGATTTTTAGTTGAGGAAAACCAAAGTTTCAAATGTTTTCCTAGCTGTTTTTCTTAGCTAAGAGGAGGAAAAATGGTACTCTGGCTCTGCTTTTCAGTTTTTAATTTTTTCTTACAACCTGTATTACAGAACGTGGAACAGATGGGTTGGTCTTTGGAAGCTATATTGCAACTTATAGTAGTTTTCAGTAATATGCTATACTTACTTTCCTACAGTAGTAAATTTTACTTCTTATGTGCACTAAGAAATTATTTTAAAACTGTTGTGTTTTCTTGAGAAGACTATACTTACATTTAGGCCAGCAGATATTTTCTGTACACAAAATGAGGATGTGTTTTATACATATCTAGTTCCATAGCTCACAGATTATGTGCTTACACAGGTGGAATAGGGTTTTTCCTAAGGCAATAAATACTTCTCTATTCCTATGAAATATTATATTTTTTTACTGTTAGGCATTATCATTTATATTTTACTAAAATACAAAAAGTAAACCTTATTTTTTAGCAAATAGAGGGCAGGGGAATCAAAGGATTAACACTGCACAAATGTAAACATGAAAACTCAGTACCCCACAGTTAACAGAGCAAGCTGCTCAAAAGATGTTCTTCTGCTAATAAGAGTTTTGATTCATTCAGCCAGCTAATGGTTGCAGTAGCTGAAGGCACTGCCCTTGACTTTTTGTTGCCATGCCTCTGCTGTAGCTCGCTGCCCCTGCAGTTCCATGATGAGATCAGAAGCTTGCCCAGCTCCTAGTTGCCTCGCCACTTACTCAGTTCAGCTCTTCCTTCACTTCAGTTTAGACAAGATGCCAGACTCGGCACTGAAGTGCACGTATAATCTCTCTCCTGCCAACTCTGCTATGTGGGCGGTTGTCTTCAACTGAAGAGAACTACCAATAGCTAGGATGACTCTATCCTAACTCACTTTTTCTAGATTTGCCAGTCATTTGCCAAAACCCCTGCTCACTGGTTATTCTCTTTTAACACTCTTTCCCAAGGCTGAAATTTTTTGTGACTGGAAAAAAAGGAGAACTTGAGTTTGCATTAAGGTAGCTAGAATATATGTTAAAAATCTATCAACCTTCTTGCTTCTATTTGTGCCAGCTCAAATCCAGGATATTGTTGTATGGCAGAGAAACATATTTTTCTCTCTCACTTAGAAACACATACAACATATTAGCAAGACTGGCTAAAAAAGGCTTAGGGCAGCAAGCAGGTGTGTGTTTTACATACCTGACTCCAGCTTTCAGGAGGGAAAAAAAAACCAACAACAACAACAAACCCACACCTTAATGTTTTCTCTACAAATAAATAAGATGGCAGTTGAGACTCTACCAGGATTTTCTTCCAAACTTTTGCCTGGCTGCTTCGATAAACCCATTCTAACTAAGAATAACTAAGAGGATTTTAAATAAGCAGAATTAATTATCTGAATTAAAGTGATTAGGGTTCAGTATTTAATTTTAATTTAAATTAGTTTTGCAACAAACAGTACAGATTATCTGAGAAATTTTTTGCTGCCTTTGAAAGTTCTTCCAGCAGCAGGTAAATTTCAGACGTGTTACTTGTCTAATAAATGACCAGCGTCACATTCCAGAGCATTTCTAGGGTTTCTAGAGTTCCTTTTCCAGCCTCACCTACTATAGCCCTGCTCTAACTTATGAAGTACTGTCAAATGGTAGTATTGGTGAGATGGCTAGGAGCTAAAAATTAATCTCATTGCAGTAGAAATAAATTAACTTCAATAATTCACAGCAACATGCAGACTGACCTGTCCAATAATAGGTTAGGTGCAAATAAAAGCTTTCCTGGGTGTTCCATGGAGCGCCAGACTAAGCCAATCATCAGTATCTCTAACCAGGCACATTCCAGTAGATGGACCTGATCATGGAGTGTTAAATCCACAAATCCTGAAAGAATAAATAGGAGAGAGTAAAACCACCCCAGTTTTGTAAGCGGAACAACATTATTCAGAGAGTCAGGTTAAAAAGTGCATTGGAGCTGGATAAGCAAAAAGAAAAAGCAATAAACCAGACATTTGTTCTCTTTACATTTTGGGCTGAGTTTTGTCTATTCGTAGGTCCACCGTGGCTCCACCCTACAGAACTGTCAGCACTTTCTGGCCCCCCGGTTGTGTACTGCCCATCCCCTGCCCCCAGAGCAGGGCGAGAGTGAGGTGAGCATCTCCATCCCCACGCCTGCTGTAGTGGCCTGGGAAAGCTGCAGAAAGGGGCAGCCGCCGGCTGCTCCAGCGCCTTGCTGCCTGTGGCATGACGGAGGGAAAATGGAAAAGTGCCTCCTATAAAATGAAAGGATAGCTCTGATCAGCTAACCCCAGGCCATGTTTCCTGGTGGAATGCTGTTTTACAGACTCGTGGACAATTCACCATACTGCAAGTGCTGTATCTCTGTGGAAGAGGACACAATACAGCATTTTGAATAAACTGGGGAACAAATGCTGATCACTATGCAATCAGAATTCGGTGATGAACTGCTTGTTTATATTTCCATTGGACTATAGCACCTGCAGGAAGGAGGTGACCTCTCCTACTCCATATTTAAACAACGCTAGAAACAATGAATGCAAAATGAAGAGGTTGCTTATAGCAATACTAAAATATGAATATGAAAGAATAATGATGAAGGTAGATATGAAAGCATAACAACAGTGGTCATTCCTGTGTGCATTTCATGGAACAGGTTGTATTATTCTCTATTTGAGATTCTCACTTTTCATGAACGTTACTTTCAATCCAAAGATATAAGCAAAGGGGAGATTCCATAATACAATTTATTAGATCCTAGCGTAATTTATTCTTTAAAATTAGCATGAACTTGCTAAAGTGAAATGTGTAGAAGTTCCCTTAAAACAGATCTTATTTATCTTTTATTCAGTGTTATGAGTGAAACACATTATTCAACTTTCTTTTTTTTCATGTTTTCAATTGTATTTGATTCATATTGGTCTTCAGACTACAAATTACAGGGTGAACTACCTTACCAGCCCAATAAATGGCAGTGATTTTGCTTCTGTGTTGTGTCCTCACTAGAGGTATATTCTGAGTCAGTTTCGAGGAATACACCTGACATACTCTTGAGTACTATCTTGAAAAAAAAGGAAAAAATAAAAAGGGCACATATTTTTAAAGTTAAGTGTTGTGCTATGAAATATATTTTTCAAATAACAAAGAGGAAGAGAAGGAACAAAATATAGTTCACAATAACTTAGAAAATATTGTTATGTTCTGCAAAACAGTTGTTGATATAATTATTTTTAATGAAAACATTTGAGAGAGGTAATCAGTCTACTCATAAAGAACCACTGAAAAAAGGAAACAGCTTTGACATGTCTGAAATAAAACAACTCATCTATGAATCACTAGGAGTGAATTTAGACAGTTGTAGTACCTGCTATTTTTATGAAAGTGGTTACTACTATTAAAAACAAAAAGTTTTCTTTTCCTGTATTCTTCCTTTATTAGCAAATGCAAAAATGACTTTCAGATGTCACAGACTGATGGAATGGCATTTGCCTGAGTCACCAAACAGCCTGAAACAATAGAGCTGAAGCTTAAGAGCAACATTCTTAATTACAAAGCATTGATTACAGCACTCAAGAATGAAATTGGCGGAAAGAAACTGCTGTCTATATATGGAGAACAAATAACAAACACCATGTTTCCTATTAAGTATTGCCTTAGTATGACAGCACATAATAATATAGTGGTTTTATCCATGCTTGAAGAGTACCACAGCAACACAGGGACCACACCACCGTGTGGTGTCTGAAGTTTGGAAGCAGTGCATTTTAAGTCAGTTATATTGCCATCATTTCACGTGGCTACACACTATTCTGCAGGAGATTGCTTCAATTGTTGCAGAAAAACTGAGCTTGTTACAACTGTGGCAATTCACTTTTCTGTAAAACTCTGCTTATTCTACAATATTCTGGATGCCAAAATGCTTTGCTTTGTTCACACCGTCTTGGTCTCTATTTTTATTACACCTGTTCTCAAACACCTTTTAAGCCCTATCTTTTTAGTAGCTCTATTTTTCCCCATCCCCACATATGAAATTTCAGATTGCACTGAAGCTAAGTAATCTGCACAAAAACTAAAGAGAAAGAAGAAAAGAAACCTAATAAATTAGCTCACTAGTATTGTAGAGGAGGGATATTTTGTCAGCCTGCTCTGAGAATAGAAATATACTGCCCAAGAATGCTACATCTTTTAAAGTACTTAAACGTGAGTACTTTGCATTACAGAGTCCTAAAAGGATTGGCCAACAGTATTATTGGTACAGAATATTAACTCTGATTTCAGTGAAGCTAAGGAATTTTCAAAAAACTAGGATGAAAAAGAAAACTGACTGTGAGTCCATAGTTTAAAGCATTAAATGATCTGTCAGCCTGACATCTACTTTGGGTTCTATAACAAAACAGCTAACACAAACTCTGATTAATGCAGGTTTAAAAGTTTTTAATATAATAATCCACATCAACTGTAATTCATAAAAAAACCTGATCAAATTACCTTGATGGCTTTTTAGGTGACATTATAAGTTTAGTTGGAAAAATAATAGTTTTGATGAAACAGACTTCTATGAGACATTTGATTTTGTAAAAACATGCAACAGATTAACTGAATTCAAGTATTTTCAATGACACATCTCAGTATGTAATGGCAAAAGGGTAATGACCTGAACTGAAGTGTTTCTAGAAGAATGCCATACCATTTACTTCTTTACCCTAGACAATTTTTTTAATGGCGACATGGAAAAAACCAGAAATCATGATTCAGATGTCATGATGGCATGTGGAAAATAATGCAAAAAGCAGGTTGATAGTGTAAGCAATATAATCACTCGCTAGCTTAATCATAAAAAATACAGACATACATTTAAAACCAAGAACATTAAGCTTATATACAGGATGGAAACAGTAGCAGCTATGAAGAGGACTTGGAAATGATGGAGACAAATCAGCCCACTTTGAGCTTCCAGTGGGAAGTTACATCTAATAAAGACAATTAACTTTATAAAAAGCCAGGGAAACTCTGAGAGAGTAAGGAAGTTAAATTACCTCTGTGTTACCTGAATCTGGTAACTAGTCTTCAAGTGGGATGAGAAGTTGGACAGAATGATAAAGAAATATCAACATGAATAAAGCATTGAAAAACATGCCCTCTAGTGAGGAATAAGAGGAATTTAGTTACTCTTTGTGAAGCTAAAGGGGCTAAAGGACTTCAGTGGGTAAATATCTAAAGAAAAAGAGAACAGCATTGCAAAAGGTAATGGCATAACATACAAAAGCCCATGCTGGAAGCTAAACCTGCTCCAAGTCAGACTACAAAAGAGGGGCCGTTGTTAACAACAGAAGTAGTTATTTTCTAAGCAACATACTAAGTTTCCATGCATTTGCTATCATTAGAAACATAATCACATTTTAATTATTATTTTTAAGACATACTCTTGTTCAAGCAAACTAATTCAGAGAAATGTTACAGAAGGTTAAATTAAATGATGAATAAACCATTAGTCACTTCATCACTCAGAACATGCTGCATTTTAATGCCGCTGAAATTATGTGTAGATGTGCACTGCATTCTCAAATATCAGGGTTCTTTTAATGCTGGCAAGTTTTGAAAGAAGTATTTTTGAATTTTAAATTTTTGGTTACTGTGCTTTAAGGAAAAGTAAAAACCTTCACTGTTAATAAATTAATTAATGAATTGCAGCTTATGGATATGACCTACATCTGATACCATACACCAGACTGAACAATTGCATGACCTTATAAGACATATCAAAATCCTTGTGTGGCCAAAACCTACAAGACCTAGACTGCCATTAAGCTATTCATCTATCGTGTGCTTGGCAGGAGAAAGACACTTACAGAATAAAAGCCATGGCTGGACCATCCTTTTTTCATATACAGATAAATTAACAGTATTTTTGAGTGATTGCCGACACAGAACACAATATCTGTTCCACAAACTCTTGTATAAACACGGAAATCTGAACTTCTGAAAAGCCAGAAAGGTCTTCTGAGCGCCCAGCTAAGAGTAGGTGACAAATAAATTTATGTTACGTGTAGAACACAGAACAATAATGTTCAAATTAAGCTGATTATCCTCTCTAATATAAAACAGCACTATGTGCCACATCAGTGACAATATGATAAAAATCCCTCTCTTCCAGGCAATAAGACACCCTGAAGCAGCAGTGGGTCCATGGAGGAAAATCTACAAAAAGCCCTGTCTTGGCAAGCATGACTCTCTAGAGGTGACATTAGACTTGGGAATCCAAAACTGTATGACCATCCTAAAAAAGGAAGGCAGCAACTATCCGCAACAGGTATGAGCAAATCTCTTTGTAAACTGGGAGTCTGGGCAGTTGCAGAAAGGGAAGGGTTGCCATGAAAGAACACAAGGACTGTTGGAAGTAGTATTAGGTAACACATATACCCCTGACAGCAACAGAGAAATGGTTTATGGACAAGGTTGTTGGGCTGCAGTAAGGAACAACATAAAGCTCAGATGGTTTTAATTTATTGCTACTGTAACACACATTGTGAACCCTGCAGTCCTCTGAAATAATCAACAACAACAAATATATATATATAAAAAATTTAACCAATCAAATATTTTGAATCTAATAAACTTATAATTTGCCTTAAAGACTTTTGACCTACTAAGTAGCTTTCTATTTCATCAAAAACAATTTCTCTAGCAATTAACGTTCTCTGAGACCCAGTATCCAGTGTCATTGCAGATTCAATCCTACAACAGTAAGTCCTCCAGTGGATACTTACTATCATTTGGGGATCATTTAATTATCATCATTTTGCAGCTTCTACTAATATTAAGACACAGCTACAAGGTGTCCAGACTATTCCTCTTCCCACAACAAA